GTGTGTGTGTGTGTGTGTGTGTGTGTGTGTGTGTGTGTGTGTGTGTGTGTGTGTGTGAGAGAGAGAGAGAGAGAGAGAGAGAATGTATAGTGTGGTGGGGTTACCTGTAGTGCGAAATGAACCCAAGAACCTCTGATCAACGCTATACACCAGATACATCGATGACATTTTCTTCCTTTGGAGTCATGGCGAGGAATCACTGAAACAACTACATAAGCGATATCAACAAGTTTCATCCCACCATCAGAATTACCACGGACTACTCTTTAGAATCAATCTCATTCTTGGACACACACATCTCCATCAGCGACAGACACCTCAGTACATCACTCTACTGCAAGCCTATGGATAACCTCATGATGCTGCATTTCTCTAGCTTCCACCTGAAACATATTAAAACAGCCAGCCCCTACGGACAAGCCTACACATACACAGAATCTGTTCAGATGAGGAGGAAAGAAATGGACATCTGAAGGTGTTGAAGGATGCCCTCGTAGGAACAGGATACTTTTCAATTGCCAATTCCAACATGCCACAGCGAAAAACCATAATGACCTCCTCAGAAGACAGACGCGGGATACGTTTGATAGGGTGCCCTTTGTCATCCAGTATTTCCCGAGAGCAGAGAAACTTTGCCATGTTCTTTGCAGCCTTCAACACGTTATCGATGACAACGAGCACCTCGCCAAGATCTTCCCCATGTCTCCACTTCTCGCCTTCAAACAACCACCAAACCTTAAACAGGCCATTATTCGCAGCAAACTACCCAGCCTTCAGGACAACATTGACGACAACACTATGCAACCCTGTCACGGTAACCTCTGCAAGGCATATCAGCTCTTCAACATGGACACTACCATCACATGTGGTAACACCACCCACCAAGTGAATGGCAGATAGTCATGTGACTCGACCAACGTTGTCTATCTCATATGCTGCAGGCAAGGATGCCCCGAGGCATGTTATACTGGGGAAAACCAAGCAGACGCTACAACAACAGATGAATGGGCACCACGCAACAATCGCCAAACACGGATGTTCCCTCCCAGTGGGGGAACACGTGAGCTGTCAACGACATTTGGCCTCAGATCTTTGGGTAAACATCCTCCAAGGTGGACTTTGGGATACACAACAATGCAGAGTCACCAGGCAGAGGCTGATAGCCAAGTCTGGTACCCATGAGGATGGCCTCAACCAGGTCGCACTAAAGGTGACCCACAACACTACACACTTTCACACACACATACATATACACTCACTCACATAAACACACACACACACACTCTCCCCTGTCTCTCACGCACACTCGCACGCTCTCCCACCTTCTCTCTCACACATACACATGCACATGCACACGCACACGCACACACACACATGCACACACACTCTCTCTCACACATAACATGCATTGCCTGGCCTAAAATGTCACCTCTTCTTTACACTGATAAAACCTTTAGTTCTCTCAGACCATGACTTGAAAGGAATTCAGGGATTTACATAAATATATTAATCAGTTAAAACTTCTAACTGATTAAAGATTTAACATCACCTTAGGTTTGTTTAGTACATCCTCATCAATGGTGTGAACCTTTGATCTTTTACTCATAAATTCTGTGTCTGCTATTACCTCTCTCACTAACACCTGAAGGAGGGCTGAGGCTCCAAAAGCTTGTGTTTTCAAATAAACCTGTTGGACTATAACCTGGTGTTGTGTGGTTTAAAATTATGAACTGTTTTGATGAAGTAAACAGAACAAGATTATTTCATCTAGTCCAGGAGTTTGTGATGAGAAGTGCTTTGACATTTTGCAGTTTTGATAGTGGCATCAATGCCTTGATATAGGGAGAGGCTGATATTGTGCAAGGCAAAATTCCAAAGTATTTTCTGAGGAAGGGTCACCGGACCCGAAACGTTAACTCCGTTTTCTCCTTCACAGATGCTGCCAGACCTGCTGAGCTTTTCCAGCAACTTTGTTTTTGGTCCAAAGTATTTAAAGCAGGTTAAGATGCAGGATTGCTGGGGAAGAGAGAAAGGGGCTGTCAACTAGTTTTGACATAAGGATAACAAACTGGTATCCCTCCTTTTGCTGCAGCTTCTGACATACAAGGCGTACTATGCCAGCTGATTGGAGAATCAAGGACTGGGGACATGCTTTAAAAAAAACGAGGTTTTAAGAATACATGCAAAAGGATAAGCAGAAGTTTGAAACACAATTGCAATTGATGTGGGCACAAGGTGCCAATTCTAAATTTGGGATCATTAGATTCTTGTTCACCAAAAATGTTAAGAGGAGTTAGGTATCAGCCATGATCAATTTCAATAACTGAATAAGTCCGAGGGGCTGAACAACCTTCATCTGTTCCTATGTTTCAAACAAGACTTTATAAATTGAGAGAAAGTACACAGGAGGATTATCAATATACATTCAATGTAAATAATGATCCTCTTCAGGACTCACCTCTCCCACCAGCATCTCATAGATGAGAACACCAAGTCCCCACCAGTCCACAGCCCGGGTGTAGGAGGTGTCTGTCAGAACCTCAGGAGCAAGAAACTCTGGAGTACCGCAGAAAGTGCTCGTCCGCTCTCCATAGCCCATATCTACAATGATAAAACCACACAATTTGTTTTCTATTGCATAGGGAATTCAGACTTAGGACAACAGGCTAAGGCCTCTTGATGGAGAACTTACAGAGCGAGTTGCGGCTGAGAATAGAATAGAAAACTGGAATTATAAAGCACTTGGAGCAGCCAGAGCACCCACATTCCATGAAGGGGATGAAACAGTGGCCACTGCTGGTATTAGCTGGCCCAATACAGACAGAAACTGGGTGAAACCTGGTGATGCTCTAAGGACTGCCCCAGCTCCAGAAATTGAAAAAATTAACGTGGCCACTGTTCGCTTCTGCACCCCATCTATCATCTCTGTGTTCAGAGCCCTGGACGAGCATTCTTGAGTAGTGAGGTTAGGAGCAGGAGTTGACAAACACTGCTTTTGTTCATCTGGTACTTGACACCCCACAACTGTAGATTCAATTTTCCAGTAATATGGAAAGCACACTAGCATCGAGAAGGCAACCGTTCATTCCCTAGGGAGGTAATATTACCTTTAGTGCTTTGGAAATTTCTGGTATGAAGGAGCAGCAGCAAAGTTACCCAAACAAGCAAAGAGATGGTGCAGGATGATATATAGTTATAACTCCACTGTAAAGAGGTTGCATTAAAATTAAACTGAATTGGGAAAACAGTTTGGAGTAAAGGAAAATGTCGTAAAAGGCACACGCATTTCTTGCTCACTGTTTCATATTGATGATTTCTAGTTATACTCTTCCCCAACTCTCCATATCTACTCTATCAAAAGGTTTTGGAATTTCAAAGATTTCTCTTAGTTATTCTACAGCCTCCTTTCTTTAGCAGGAATGAGATGCAATCTGTTCATAGTCTTCTGCTGTACAAACCCTTACATTTCTAATATCACCTGTGTAAACCTTCCCTGCACACTCTATCTCCTTTCTACAATTGGTAACCAGAACTGCAAAAAGCTAAAGTGCATTCTAACCAAGATTTGTTGCAGGCTTAGCATAATCTCCCTACTTCTCAAATCTATCCATACAGGAAAAAAACCCACAGTATTTGGTTTTGCATTTTTTATAGTCTTTGTAACGATGAAGTTTTGTATTTACTATTTCTTGGAGATTGTGACAGACTTATAGAAAATAGATTTATTTCAAGTTTTGTGGAAACATCCTTGGTGGTTTATTTAAAAGAAGTAATTGAAAGATCACAGTGTATGTTGGTGATTTGTTTTTAAACAACATTTCCTATAAATCACATGATTGGTAGATAATATCAGCTAGCTTTTTTGGAGTCCCCTGCTGGGGCTGTTATGAAAGGTAAATGGCTTGGAAAGCTTCATAGTTTATCTGGTTCAGCTAGAGGAAGGCTTGCTAAGAACAAGCTGAGTTGAAGGAACACCTGCTAAAGCCCATGATCTCTCCCATTTTTGAAAAGAAAACACCGTTGTAGAGTTCTGTGTGAAACCTATTTGTTCTTTTGGAAGCGTGATTGAAGAGACATCTCAACAATGCATTTCCTTAGCAAGCTCTGTCTGCAAGACTTTAAAAACTGTGTATGATTAGTGACATGATCGTACTTTCCAGAACATCAGAGCAACAGACTCTAGAACATTATATCATTGTGTTTATGTCTTCAAGAAAAACCCAACAGCTGAAGTGTTTCTTTTCAGGAAGCCAACCTCTACAGAAAAGAACCCTTTTATTTTTCCTTTCCTTAAGTGTGTGCATATTTTAGGAATACTTAGAGCAATAAGCATTTCTACATTACTAAATGTATATGTTAGCTAACTATTGCCAATTATTAAATAAGCTTTGCATTGATTATACACCAATAATTGTATTCGTTAAGAAACCTGGTTGACAGATGGTTTTGTAGACAAGGTATTTAATTAGTCGTCTTGGCAATTGGAAAAAGTATTTTTATTTGATGTTGTGACCGCTAGAATAGTGGGACTTTGTGTGACCATCTACTCCTCCAACCTGAGCAGCAACACTCTGAAATTTAGGGGTAGAAACGTACAAAAATCAAGAAAGGGTCATGACAGAATAAATAAGCAAAAACTATTTTCAATAACAGAAGGTCCAATCACCAGAGGCGAAATGAGGAGGGTTTCTTTTGAAATGTTAATGATCTGGAATTAAATACTTGCAATCTTGATGGAAGCAGATAAAACAATTATTTAATGGGACCTGGATAAATATTTTAGAGGAAAAAATGACAGTATTCTGTAGTAACAGCATTTGATTCCAGCTAACAGGCTCTTTCTTTCAGAAGTCCAGCGCAGAATTTCCTCATTCGATGCTACATAACTCCATAGATTCTTCTGTCAATATAATCTTCACTGAGATGATTGTCCTGGATTACTGCAACTCCAACAATATCTGAGGAGCTTACGATTAGCTGAAATAGCTCAGTTGGGACAGTGCTAGATTCAAGATTTAAAGGTCCCTGTTCAATCCCAGGTTTCAGCAGAATAAGCAGTACCTTTCTGTTTCAGTGTACTTAGTCTTATCATAAGATTGAGTGTATCTAAGACAGAGATAGATTGATTCCTTTACTAATCAAGAACCTAAGGTGTTATGGGAAGAAGGCAGGAGAATGGGTTTGATAAACATCAGCCATGATTGAATGGTGGAGCAGACTCAAAGGGCCGCATAGCCTAATTCTGCTCCTATATCTCATGGTCTTGTGGTTTTACTATCACAGGCAAAGCAGCTTGCTGTTTGGCATCATACTACCACCTTAATTGTTCACTCCCACCTCCATCCATGTGCTGTAGAATCTTATATTGCTCCTTTGACAACACCTTCCAAAAACTAATATTTACCAGTTAGATGAACAAGGGCAGCAAGCTTCCCTCCAAGCCACTCACCATCCTGACTTAACTATATTGCCATTCCTTCACTATTACTGGGTGAAAACCTTGGAGTTCCCTTCCCATCACTCTGGGTATAATTATATCACGAGGACTGCAGCAGTGCAAGAAAGCAGCTCACCACTATCTTCTCCAGAATCAATTAGCCAGCAATGCTTATATCCTGTTCAATTAATTTAAAAAAACATCGCCCATCCCCAAAATTGTAAGAAGGGGCTTTCTTAGTTTTTCTGAGCTCCTTCTGATCAGACTGGAAAAGGTCTGGTTAAAGGCTCCTACGATGGATACATAACTTATAGTTTGCAGGGTCTACCCCAGAGTGGAGGAAGGTATAGATGGTCTGATTAGCAAGTTTGCAGATGACACTAAGATTGGTGGAGTAGCAGATAGTAAAGGGGACTGTCGGAGAATCCAGCAGAATATAGATAGATTGAAGAGTTGGGCGGAGAAATGGCAGATGGAGTTCAATCCAGGCAAATGCGAGGTGATGCATTTTGGAAGATCCAATTCAAGAGTGAACTATACGGTAAATGGCAAAGCCCTGGGGAAAATTGATACACAGAGAGATCTGGGTGTTCAGGTCCATTGTACCCTGAAGGTGGCAACGCAGGTCGATAGAGTGGTCAAGAAGGCAAATGGCATGCTTTCATTCATTTGACAGGGTACTGAGTACAAGAGTTGGCAGGTCATGTTACAGTTGTATAGAACTTTGGTTCGACCACATTTGGAATACTGCATACAGTTCTGGTCGCCACATTACCAAAAGGATGTGGATGCTTTGGAGAGGGTGCAGAGGAGGTTCACCAGGATGTTGCCTGGTATGGAGGGCACTAGCTATGGAGAGAGGTTGAGTAGATTAGGATTATTTACATTAGAAAGACGGACGTTGAGGGGGGGACTCGATTGATGTCTACAAAATCATGAGAGGTATAGACAGGGTGGATAGCAAGAAGCTTTTCCCCAGAGTGGGGGACTCAATTACTAGGGATCACGATTTCAAGGTGAGAGGGGAAAAGTTTAAGGGAGATATGCGTGGAAAGTTCTTTACGCAGAGGGTGGTGGGTGCCTGGAACACGTTGCCAGCGGAGGTGGTAGAGGCGGGCACGATAGCGTCATTTAAGATGTATCTAGACAGATACATGAATGGGCAGGGAGCAGAGGGATACAGATCCTTGGAAAATAGGCGACAGGTTTAGATAGAGGATCTGGATCGGTACAGGCTTGGAGGGCCAAAGGGCCTGTTCCTGTGCTGTAATTTTCTTTGTTCTTTGTTCTTTACCATTTTAAAATTACATATGCTAAGAGACGTGGTATGAGTGAAATAAAGGGGGCTATGGCAATCAAATGCTAAGCAGTGATACCAACCTTCCTTACAAAGTCCAAAATCAGCGATTTTGACATAACCCTCTGTGTCAAGGAGCAAGTTATCAAGCTTCAAATCCCTGCAGGAACAAAGGATGAATTTCAACCATTGTCAAGAAATGAGAAGTTTAGAATAATCTAATAAGCAGACTAACAGGTAAAAACATAGAAATTATTCAAAATACAATTGTAAAGGCATAGCAAATTGAAAATGTTCTCCAACATCTTGCATATATTATTTTGGATCGCCAAAAGGTATTAATGGTCCAGAAGGGAGTTACAATACCGGGGTGTGTGGAGATTTATTGTAGATGATGTGGGGCAGGTGACTCAAGTATATTAGATCTTCCTTCAAGAACATAAAGAACAATGTGCGTGGGAAATTGTGTCTCTCAAATTTGATTGAGTTTTTTGAGGAGGTGACCAAGACAAAGTGAGCTAACTGTCTGATAAACTGTTGGGTCAGAACAAAGCTCTGGACTCCAAAGGGCAAAGCTATGAAGAGAAATTACATAAACTGGCATTGTATTGTCTAGGACTTGGGATGTCAAGGAGTAACTTGATTGAAGTTTTCAAGATATAAAGGGAACAGACACTTGGACAGGTGTATGGTTAAGAAAAGTTTAGAGCAATATGGGCCAAACATAGGCAAATGGGACTAATTCAATTCAGGAAACCTGATCAGCATGGACAAGTTGGGCCAAAGTGTCTGTTTCTGTGCTGTATGTCTCTATTACTCTATGAAGAAATTGGAGCAGGAGTTCCATTCAAGATCATAGCTGATCTGCTGGTGTCCTCAACACTACATTCTTGCCTGTCCACCATTACTCTCAGCTGCGTTGCTAGTTTAAAATCTGTCCAGCTAAGCCCTCACCTAAATTCAATGACCCAGACTCCAGTGCTCCCTGTAGAAGGGAATTCAAAACATAAATGACCTTGTTACAGAAAAAAAACCTCCCCATCTCTGTCTTAAATGGAAAACCTCCTGTTTTTAAAAACTAGGGTCTTAGAACCCCAAAACAGAGAAGCCCTTCGGACAAGAAGTCTGCACCAATCTATCTACACTAATCTCAGCTTCTAGCACTTGGCTGGTCATCTTGAATGTTCTGACATTTCAAGTGCTCATCCACATGCTTCTTAAAGGTTGAGAGGATTCCCACCTCTACTACTTTCCCACACAGCACATTTCAGATTCCCACCATCTTCTGGGTAAAAATATTTTCCTCAAATCTGATCTAAACTTCCTGACCTTAACCTTAAGGTTGTGCCCCCTCATTACTACCCTTTCCAATAAGGGAAATGTTGCTTCTGTCATCACTATCGTCTCAACATTGGCCCTATCAAGTCCCCTGGCCTGGATTTTCTGCTGGTCAGACAGCTGATATTCTAACATAGATGGGAGTTGCACAAAGGGACCCTGTGGAATCCCTATTTTAGCACATTCTGAACAATTTTTCAGAGAAATTCTACTTTCCACTAGGCAATTCCCCAATACCCGGAACCCTTTGAAAGTCATTTAAATTGGGGACTTTGGTGCGTTCCAGTGAAATTAAGAAAAGGATTGTTCAGGAAACGTCTGTGTATTTTATACCCTGACGAATTCTTGAGTGATTATTCAACAGGAACATACTTACCATAACACAGCCCCATCTACACCTCCCACAGACCCTGAGCTGGCACTCTCCAGGGCACTACCCTGGGGAGCAGACACTCCCACCCTAATCCACATTCAAATTTCTTACTGCATCAGATGCAATCTGAGGAGATATAGCCCTGAAAGAACTAGGTTAGTTTCCTCACCCAGTATTACCACAGATCCTCAGCAAATACATACGTTAGTAGGCCTGGAGGCAAATACTACTGAATCAGAGAATAGAATCATAGAATCCCTACAGTGCGGAAACAGGCCATTCGGTCCAACAAGTCCACACTGACCCTCCAAACAGCATCCCACTCAGACCCATACCTACCATTTCCATGTAACCCTGCATTTCCCATGGCTAACACACTTAACCTACACATCCCTGGACACTTTGGGGCAATTTAGCATGGCCAATCCACCTGACCTGCACATCTTTGGACTGTGGGATGAAACCAGTTCTAAGGAAGGGTCCCAAAATGTTAACTCTGATTTCTCTTCACAGATGTTGCTGGACCTGCTGAGCTTTTCCAGCAACTTCTGTTTTTGTTTCTGATTTACAGCATCTGCAGTTCTTTTGGTTTTATTACTCCATTTAATCCCACACCCCCTCGTTTTTACCCACATCGCAGAAATTACTCAACCAATGAATGTTTGCTCTGTACCCCTCCTAAAAGCTATAGGTTGTGCTTCTACCTACATACATGTAAAATAAGTTTCCCTCCCACTGTCCCTGCTTCTTTCAATTTCAAACTGAACCCTCTGGTTATCGACCCATTAGAAATCGTTTCTCTTTGCTTACCTTATTTAAACCCTTCATGCTTCTGAAGTCCATCACTCCTGAAATTTCTTCTGTTTCCTTGTCAAAGTCTTCACGAACCCAAATTCTTCCCACATACACTGTTCTGCCCAGAATGGGCATTGTACCATTTCTGCACCAAATTTGCATTGATCAACATTTGGCACATCCTGATTTTTGTGCTCTGATCCTCTTTTCATCATGTCCAAGATCTCATGTGCTCTCTATCCATTAACAAATTTTATACACGTGCGACTATTGCCCCTTTCATCCATAGTTTTTAATATTGTTCTCAAGCCTAACACACAAATTTTAATTCCAGTAAAAAATCTAGTCATGTGTAGAGTCGTAAAGCATGGAAGCAGATCCTTCAGTATGTAGTATTCAGCAACAAAAGGTTAAACGCAGCTTTGAACCTGCTAGAGGATAAAAAATCTTCTCACCTGTACACAATCTTGTTATCATGAAGGAATTGCAGCCCAAGGACGACACACGCAGAATAGAACCTGCAAGAAACAATTGTAAAATTAATTTTCATGCCATTTTTAATTTTGGTCATCCTTGAGCATCAAACAAGTCTGTGGCAAGGTTGACTATGATCCACTGACTTTAAATACAACTCTATAACAACTTCTAGAACATAGGAAAGAGTTTTGACCTCTCAACTGGTATTTCTCCAAACACCATGAAAAATAACGTCCAGGTTCTTAATTTTTCCCACAGTGTATGGGGTTAGAGTAAGAATTGTTTGTGTAGACCATTCTCTGTGGAATGGTCTGAATTAGGAAGCCTAACACACGTTGGGGTTTAGTTTCTAGAGGGATAGAATGCTAAAGGACCATTGAATCTGGGTTAGACCATGGTTGCCTGAACATTGTGGAGGCCAAAACTCTGCGCATTATAGAAAGGATATGCAGGCACTAGTAAAAGTGCAGAGAAAGATTCACTGGGATGATACCAGAGATGAGAGATTACTTGTAACAAAAAAAAGGAGTAGGCCAGGCTCCTTTGTCTTTTACACAGACTGAGAGGTAATGTATAAAATGCCTTGAGATTTTCCTTAATCCTGTTTGCCAAAGATATTTCATGGCCCCTTTTAGTCCTCCTAATTCCTTGTTTGTGTTCTTGCCTGCTATCTTAGTACTTTTTGAGAGCTTTGCCTGTCTTCTATTCCCTAAACCTTACGTATGCCTCCTTTATCTTTTTGACTGAGCTCTCAATTTCACTTATCATCCAAGGTTCCCAAATCTTGCCATCCTTATCTTTCATTCTCACAGGAACGTCACAGAGTCCGTACAATGCAGATACAGGCCATTCAGGCTGTCGAGTCTGCTTGGACCCTCCAAACAGCATTCCACCCAGACCCACCTCCATCACCATATTTCCATAACACCGTATTTACCATCGCCAATCTACCTTGTCTATGGGAGGAAACCGGAGCACCCTCACAGAAACCCACACAGACACAGGGAGAATATGCAAATGTCACAAACACAGTCACCCAAGGCTGGAATCAAACCCAAATCCCTGGCGTTGTGAGGCGGCAGTGCCAACCACTGTGCTGCCCATCCTGGTCCTGAAATCTAATCAGCTGGCTTTTAAAAGATTCCCACATACCAGATGTGGATTTAACCCTCAATCTACATTTCCCACTTCCTGCCTAATATTGTGGTAGATAACCTTCCCCCAACTTAGTACTTTCACCCAAGGACTACTTTGATCCTTTTATACATTAACAAAGAGTAGTTAAGGAAAAGGTAGGTCCACTCAAGGACAGAAAAGGAAATTTATGTATGGAGCCAGAGGATGCGGCATTCACAAAAAAGAAGGATATGGTGGATGGTGAGTCTTGGGATAGGTACATTGATATTCTCGGGCATGTCAATGTAAAAAAGGAAAATGTGTGAGTATTTTGAAAAAGACAAATCCCCTGGATCTGATGGGATCTATCCCAGAATGCTGAGGGACGCAAATGAGGAAATTGCTGGGGAATTGTACGAAACCTTTGAATCCTCTTTAGTCACTGGAGAGAGACCAGAGGACTGCAGAAAAGCCAAAGTTGTTCATTTGAGGACAACAGGGATAATCCGGAAAATTACATGCCGGTGAGCCTTACTTCAGTGGAAGGGAAATCATTGGAGAAGATTTGTTGGGATAGGATTTACTCACATTTGCGAAAATGTACACTTGTTAACAATAGGCAGCATGGCTTGGTGCAGGAAAGATCGTATCTCACTAACATCATTGAGTTTTTTGAGGAAGTGACAAAGAATATTGATGAGGGCAGGGTGGTAGATGCTGTCTATATAGATTTTGGCAAGGCCTTTGACAAGGTCCCTCATGGCAGGCTGAAGAACAAAGAACAATGCAGGACAGGAACAGGCCCTTCGGCTCTCTAAGCCTGCGCCGACACATTTCGCCCTTCCATACTAAAACTGTCTTCACTCAAGTGATCCGTATCCCTCTATTTCCTTCCTATTCATGTACTCATTCAGGTGCTTCTTGAATGCTGCTGTTGTGTCTACTTCCACCACCTCCTCTGGCAGCACATTACAGGCACTCAACATCTTTTGGTGTGAAAAACATGCCTTGCACATACCTTTTAAACTTCCTCCACACATGTTGAACCTGCGTCCCCTAGTAATTGACTCTTCAACCCTCTCCACTCTATCCATGCCATTCACAATCTTCATAAACTTCTATCAGGTTGCCCCTCAACATCCTGTGTTCCAGTGAAAACTAACCTCAGTCTATCCAAGCTTTCTTCATAGCTAAAATCTGCCATATCAGGCAACATCCTGGCAAATGTTTTTTGTACTCTCTCCAAAGCGTCCACTTCCTTCTGGTAGTGTGATGACCAGAACTGTACACAATATTTGGCCTAACTAAAGATCTATAAAGCTGCAGCACAACTTGCCTATCCTTATATACAATGCCCTTTCCAATGAAGGCAAGCATGTCATAGGCTTTTTTTTACTACCTTATCTCCCTACACTGCCACCTTCAGTGATCTGTGGACATGCACAGCCAGATGCCTCTGCATATCAATACTCCCAAGGGTTCTGCCATTCAGTCTATAATTTCCGCGTGTACTTGACCTTCCAAAATACATCACCTCACATTTGTCTGGATTAAACTCCATCTGTCATTTTTCTGCCCGTGCCTCCAACTGAGCTATATCTTACTGTATCCTCTGACAATCCTCCTCACTATCTGCAATCTTTGTATCGTCAGCAAACTTACTAATTAGACCAGTCACGTTTTCTTCCAAATCATTTACGTGGACCATGAATGGCAGAGGTCCCAACACTGATCCCTGTCGAACACAACTAGTCACAATCCTCCATTCCGAAAAGCATTCTTCCACCGCTACCCTCTGTCTCCTATGACTAAGCCAGTTGAATATCCACCTTGCCAGCTCACCCTTGATACCATGTGACTTCACCTTTTGTACCTGTCTACTATAAGGGACCTTATCAAAAGGCCGAGTTGGTAAAATACTTACAGAACTAGTTTAGTCACAGAAGGGAGAGTAATGGTGCGAGGATGTTTTTCTGACTAGATATCTGTGACCAGTAGTGTTCGACAGGGATCAGTGTGGGGACCCCTGTTGTTTGTTATATATATAAATGATGTAGAGGTGAACGTAGATGGCCTGATTATTAAGTTTGCAGACAACACAAAGATTGGGGGAGCTGCGGGTAGTGAGGTAGATAGCCAGAGGATACAGATAGCTGTTAAGACACCAGCAGAGAAATGGCAAATGGAGTTTAATCTGGACAAATGTGAGATGATGAATTTGGAAGATCTAATGCAGAAGGCACGTATACAATAAATGGCAGAACCCTTCACAGCATCATCTAGGTCATATTTCCCTGAATACGGAACACAAATGGATAAGGTAAGCAAGAAGGCACATAGTAATGCTTGCCTTCATTGGTCAGAGCATAGAGTATAAAACTTGGCAAGTCATGTTACAGCTGTATAAAATTTTAGTTTAGTCACATTTCCAGTATTGCGTACAGTTCTGGTCGCCACACTACCAGACGGAACTGAAGGCTTTGGAGAGGGTACAGAAACAGTATAACATGTTTTGCCTGGTTTGGAGGGTATTAGCAATGAGGCGAGATTGGATAAACTTGGTTTGCTTTCATTTGAACATTGAAGGATGAGGGGCAACCTAATAGAAGTTTACAAAATTACGAGCAGTATGGATAGAATGGATAGTCTGAGTCTTTTGCCCAGGGTAGAAATATCAATTGCTATGGGACATCGGTTTAAGGTAAAAGGGTGTAAGTTTAAAGGAGATGTGAGACGCAAACTTATTTTTAAATACAGAGGATGGTAAATGTCTGGAATGTGCTACCAAAGGAGGTGGTGGAGGTGGATATAATGGCAATACTTAAGAGGCAACTTGACAGATATATGAATAGGCGGGGAATAGAGGGATAGGGACTGCGTAAAGGAAAAACGTTTTTAAGTTTAGAAAGGCATCATGTGTCGGCATAGTCTTGATGGGGTGAAGGGCCTGTTCCTGTGCTGCATTGTTTTTTGTTCTAGGTGATCTAATGGAAATTAAAATGGGGATTAATAATGTAGCTGAAAAAGATGTGTCACTTGTGAGGTTAAAAGCTGAAGTTCATCAGCACTTGATCATCATAAATCTACTGTACAAATCTGGAAGCATTCCCTTACTCAGACTAGTTCTTGTGTGGGACTCACTACTAGGGTGGTTGAGGTGAACATCATGAGCAATGAAGGGAAATCCAGATAAACAGGTACAATCCTCAATAGACACAGTACAGGTGGAAACTCAGAGATAGTAAGAACTGCCGATGCTGGAGTCTGAGATAACATGTTTTGGGTTGGGACCCTTCTTCTGAAGAAGGGTCCCAACCCAAAAAATCAGCTTTCCTGCTCCTCTGATGCTGCCTGGCCAGCTGTGTACCTCCTGCTCTACAGGTGGAGACTATTCACTATGTATTGCCCCTTTGAAACACTGTCCAATTAATGCAATTAATCCAATTAGTGGGCTTCTTTCCTCACAACACTTCATCTGTCTTCAAGTATAGATGTATTTCCCTTTGGGAAGTCATTACTGAATCTTCTTCAGGAACCACAACAACTATGCCCTTTTTTCTCACCCCTCATGCTGTCTCTTATTCTTTTATCAATCACTATAACCCTGTGGCCTCTGGTTAGCAACCCACCTACCACTGGTAAATGCTGTTCCTCATTTACTCTGTAAAGAGCTTGAAGATTTTGACGTTTTCTTTTTAAGTTCTTGGATGGCATTTGGCACAGCAGTTAGCACATTGTCCCTGTGTCTGCGTGGGTTTTTGCCAGGTGCCCTGGTTTCTTCCCACAATCCAAAACTGTGCAGGTTAGGCGGATTGGCCGTGCTAAATTGCTCCAGAGTCCAGAGATTTTCAGGCCAGGTGGATTAGCTGTAGTAAACATGCAGTTGTGGGGATAGGGTGGACAGGGGGTCTGGGTGGGATGGTCT